GTAAGTACGAGCGTGATTTTCGACCATCTAACACTGCCTGATTAACGCGGGAAAACAGGGATGCAATAATTCCTCTTTTTTTTAGTAGAAAATAAACAGAAAAAAAATCCGATACATAAAACGTACATCACATAAACGAAGAAAAAAAATAGACAAATCAAATACGTATACAGTAAATTACAACTGAAACATCGAACTTTTTCAAAAATCAAACATCTTTAGGCGAGTCACAAATACAACTTTTATGCAACCGAGAAATTATATATTCATTTTGAAATAACAGACAACTGAATGTAAATTGTATTGCAAATGTCATTGGGTCGGGAAAAAAAGGTGAATGGGCAGAAATTGAGAAACAAAACCACGGTTAAACTAACCCAGAAAGAATTGGCGGTTATCCTCACCGGCTGATCGGGTCCGGCTCAAGGTAATGTTCCTAAATATCTAATTTATTTATTTATTTTTTTTTTTTTGGGGGGTGTTGTTGTTGTTGTTGTAGTTGCCTTAATTATTATTATAATTATCAATTATCTAATTATATATATTTTTTTGGTTTTACTTTCTAAATTCATTAGTCATTTCTTTGTTCTTGTTCTTGTTTTTGTTGTTTTCCTATATTCTCTTTCTTTTTCCTTTTTTTCTATTTCATTACTTCATGAATGATTGTTGTTGTTCCGTTGTTGATGTTGTTGTTGTTGTTAATCTTATTATTATTATTTTGCTGTTATTCAAAATATATCTTTTACTCCATCACCTCGTTATTATCGTTATTTTATTATTATTATCATTCAAAATATCTTTTCTTCTTTTCCTTTTCCTTTATACTTTCTTTAGCTTCACGATTTTGGAATTCCCTTCATTTTTCTTTTTCTTTCTCTATTCTTTTCTCTATTCTATTCTTTTTTTTTTCTTTTTTCCTTTCTTTTTCCTTTTATTTCACTTTACACCGAAAAAAAATGCAACGAAAAATCCACGCCAGGGACGCCTCTCGCAAACGAACAGAAAACGGAGGAAGCGAGGAGGGGGTGGGAGGGGAGGGGGCACTTAGAAACAATAATGACGAAGTATTTTAAGAATGCCTTATAATGTACCTTGAAAGAATAGGTGTTTTATATTGATTTTTTGGTTTCCTGGATAGTGGATGGTGAATAGTGAATAGTGTGATTGGTGGATTGGTTGTGATTGTAAGGATGATGAGGATAATAGGAGATTAATGGTGATTATGGGAAGGGAAATTTGAGTTTAATTATGAGGGTGATAGTGATGATAAAGGTGATAATAATTGTACAGTCTGATTCAAGATAAATTGTGAAAATAGATGTAATGATGGTGATGAAAACTGTTATTTAAAGATAATAACAGTGATAATGATAATAATGATGATAAATGATAATAATAATAATAATAAGAGGAATGACATTCGTAGACACGAATAAAATAATAATAAGTACAATGCAAAAATTCGACATTCCTAAAACTCGAAAAAAGGTGAAAACCCCCCCCCCCAAAAAAAAAACAAGATAAAATGAATAAATAAATAAATAGAAAATAAAATAAAAAATAAGCAAAATATAGAAACAGGAATTAAGAAGCAAATGAATAAACAAGGAATAAGACAAGAAAGCAAGACAGACAGACATTGAAAGAAAAAGACAAAAGTAGACAGTTCCCTTTAAGTATATAATGTAGCTTCGGGTTCTGTGTATAAACCCGTTTTTACAGTTTTAACAAAAATCAGATATTCGACAAGAAACTCTTCCTTATTTTCAATTTTCTTTCGTGCTCTCTCTCTCTCTCTCTCTCTCTCTCTCTCTCTCTCTCTCTCTCTCTCTCTCTCTCTCTCTCTCTCTCTCTCTCTCTCTCTCTCTCTCTCTTCTCTCTCTCTCTCTCTCTCTCTCTCTCTCTCTCTCTCTCTCTCTCTCTCTCTCTCTCTCTCTCTTTCTCTCTTTCTCTCTTTCTCTCTTTCTCTCTCTCTCTCTCTTTCGCTCACTCATTCTCTCTCTCTCTATAATAGTAGTAGAAGTAGTACTAGTAGTAGTGATAGTAATAGTAGTATAAAGTACATTTATTTTATCTTATTAGTATTAGTAGTATTAGTCGTGGTAGTAATAGTAGTAGCATTTTATCTTAGTATTAGTAGTATTAGTAGCATTTTATCTTCGTAGTATTAGTAGTATTAGTCGTGATAGTAATAGTAGTAGCATTTTATCTTAGTAGTATTAGTGGTAAGAGTGGTTGTAGGAAAAGTAACAGAAGTGCTATTACAAATTGTTAATCATAGCAGTTGTAGTTGTAGTAGTAACAGTACTGATATAGTAGTAGTAATAGTGTACTTTGCTATTTTTCGTTCTTTCTCAAAAAAATCGTTTTTAGGTGGAGTAAATAGCAGTAAAGGTTGCCATCTTTGTGGGTACGTTTTTTTTTCTTCATCTTTATTTTTTTCTCTCCTGTCTCCTTTTCAACTTTTTTTTTTTTTCTTCTTTTAACTTCTTTTCATAGCAACAACCTTGTCGATGATAATAGGAAGGAAAAGGGAGAAAAAAGAAGAGAAGGAAATCTTAAAAATACAATAGTATCTCCTTCATGCCAAGAACCTTGTCGACGGTGATAGAAAAAAAGAAAAAAATAAATTCACAATAGATACAAAGAGAAAAAGAAAAGAAATAAAATACAAAGGAAAAGGGGAAGGAAATAAAAATTGCAATAAGTACAAAGAGAAAGAAAAGGAAAAACAGAGAGAGGGAGAGAGAGACGGAGAGACAGAGACAGAGAGAGAGAGAGAGACTGAGAAAGAAAGATAAATAGTGAGCGAGAGAAAGAGAGAACAAGCGAAAAATAGAAAAAAAAGAGAACGATGGAGAAAAAGAAGAGAAAGAGAAATAGAAAGATAGATAAAGAAAAAGAGAGAGAGAGAAAGAAAGAAAGAGACCTTAGCAGCAACAGTAACTCTCGCAACGAAGTGTTTGTTGATCGACGTTGCAAAAAAAAAAAGAGTTGCAGTAAATTGACACCATGAATAACCTTGAATAGCCTTGCCTCTTCACTCCTTTTAGTTTTCCTTGTCCTCTGTGTCTTCCATGCTCTTCCTTTCTCTCTTTATCGATACGGTTGAAGAAGAAAAAAAGGAAAGGGGGAAAGGAAAGAAGAGAAAAACTGGGAAGAGAAGAAGAGTAGAGAAGATTTTTTAAAAAAGAAGGGGAAGGGAAAGGAAGGAGAGAAACTTTAAGAGAAAGAGAGGAGAAAATTGAACGATGAAAAAAAAAAGACAAGGGAAAGATGAGAGAAACAAAAAGAGAAGAAAAGATGAGCAAAATGGAAAAAAAAAAAGAAACAGAAAGAAAAGAAGAGAAATCTGAAAAACAATCGAAAAGAAATGAAGAAGAAGGAGGAGAGAGAGGCAGACAGACAGTGACAGCCAGAAACAGAAAACAGACAGACAGACACAAACACAGACAAACACAAACGCAGACTGACACAGACACAGACAAACACAGACAGACAGAAAGATCAAAAAAACACCCCACACGCGCGACGTCCCTTCCAACCAGGCCTATCGACGGTCCCCGGCTGACCCATTGGGACGAAGGGCGCCATGTATGACCGCAGGACCTGACCCTATCCTGGACCCTGCACCCAAGGGCTTCCCACGCCGCCCCCCCCCCCCCCACCCTCTTAACCTTGACCCAAAAAGGAAGCGTCGGAGCGGCTGGTTGTGGATTGATACGTGGGGGCGCTGTGCAAGTGTCGCTTTTGTTGTTGTTGTTGTTGTTGTTTTTGTTTTTTTCGTTTTTGTTATTGATTTGTTGTTAGTATTATTTTTGTTTTTTTTCGTTTTTGTTTTTGTTTTTCTTTTCTTTTTCTTTTTTTTAACCTTTTTCACTCCAAACTTGCACCGTTATATCCCCATTTGTTGCATAAGGATAAAAAAATCTTGCATGCAACTTCCTTGGAGCTTTGTGATAATGGACGAATGCACAATTACTTGCTTGTTGATGTTGTGCTTTTATTGTTCTGTGATTGCTTTTATTTTTTATTTATTTGTTGGTATAATCGACTCTTAAAATCTGTAATTATTTGTGTGTGTGTGTGTGTGTGTGTGTGTGTGTGTGTGTGTGTGTGTTTGCGTGCATGTGTGACTGTGTATGTGTGTGTGCCATTGTCTTTTTGCTTGCCTCCACTCTTACTACCTGTATATGTGTACGTCTATGTGTACGTGTGCGTATGTATGTATGTATGTACATGTCCGTATGTTCGTATTCCGTTTTCTTTCTCCGTGTGTCTTCCGTTTTCTCCTCCGTCTTCTGCGTTATTATCTGCGGTCAGCATCAACACTTATTCATAATGACCTGAAGTAAAAGTATGGATCTCACTATTGCAAAAGGTGGCATTATCTTCGTGTCTCTCTCTCTTCTCTCTTCCTTTCCTTTCCTTTTCTCTTCTCTTTCCTATCTTCTCTTCTTCCTCGTTCTTCTTTTGTTTTTTGTTTTTTGTTTTTGTTTTTTTTTCACTCTTCGTCTTTTCCTCTCTCCCTTTCCTTTCCTTTTCTCTTTTCTTTCCTCTCTTCTTCCTCGTTCTTCTTTTGTTTTTGTTTTTTTCTTTTTTTCACTCTTCGTTTTCTCCTCTTTTTATCTACCCTACTTTTTCCGATTCCTTCTTCTTCAACTTTCTTATTCTCCCTTTCGATGCTCTTTCTTCCATTCTATCTCTCATTTCCTTCCTTCTTCTCTCTTCATCCTCTCCCTCCCACCGTCTTTACCCTTCCTTGTTCATCCCCCCTTCCCTCCTACCCCTCCCTCCCTTATTCCTCTTTACTTTACCCCTTCCCTCTTCAACCCTCTTTCTCCCTTCCTTCCTTCCCATTCCTCTTCCTTCCTAACCCTCTCTCCTTCTCCCTCCTTCCCTTCCTCAACCCTCTCTTCTTACCCTCCTTCCCTTTCTCTCCCTTCCTTCCTCCCTCTCTCCTTCTCCCTACCCTCTCTACCTCTCCCTACCCTCCCTCC